CCGACTCCTATGAGTGACCAGAGTGTTTCGTAAATTAATAAGATCACACGTGTTTAATGCGTTATCGAAATTAGTATGATAATTGCCAGTTAAACTTAGGAGCACAGGCTGTTGCTTACGGATCTATCTATCTCTCTTTCCATCTATCTCTCTGTCTGTCTATCTGTCCATCTATCTATCTCTCTATCTATCTATCTATCTGTCTGTCTGTCTGTCTTTCCTGTTGCTCCTAATTGGGGCACAGGGGATCCGCGAAACGCTTCGTTTCACTTCAGTTTTTTAATGTTAGACAATCGGTACGACTCCTTGGACGGGAGAGCTGCCCGTCGCAAGGCCACTACCTAACACAAACACAGAATAAACGCAGACATACGTGCCTTGAGTGGGATTCGAACCCACGATTCCAGTGTTAAGAGCCTTAGACCGCGCCGCCACTGTGATCAGCGCTTTCAAAGCAGAATAAAAATATTACAGTGCAATGACTAATTTTGTTGTTAAGATATGAGCCATAGTATTTCTTCTGACCATTCGTCTGTGTCAGCTTCTGGCGTGTGTGTACAAGTGACATGAAGTTTCCTGAAGAATGAAGAGGCTTCTGCTTTGCTGGAATTGTATCTACAGAACTTACCATTTCAGAATATTCTGTATGTACAGAGTAGGTCGTGAAGAAATGACTATTAAGCTGGTAACATTGAACGGCTATGAGCATTTTAATGTGAAACTCATGTAAATTGTGTATTTCTTCTGACCATTCGTCTGTGTCAGCTTCTGGCGTTTGTGTACAAGTGACATGAAGTTTCCTGAAGAATGAAGAGGCTTCTGCTTTGCTGGAATTGTATCTACAGAACTTACCATTTCAGAATATTCTGTATGTACAGAGTAGGTCGTGAAGAAATGACTATTAAGCTGGTAACATTGAACGGCTATGAGCATTTTAATGTGAAACTCATGTAAATTGTGTACAGCGTACGTACTTACTTGCTTACTAAGGCCGCGCCATAGCTCAAGCGGTTAGTCGCTGGATTCCCACCGCGGCGGCCCGGGTTCGATCCCGGGTCTGGTCAAGTGGGGTTTGTGGTGGACAAAGTGGCGCTGGGGCAATCTTCATTCCACCAATTGTTTCACAATGACACTCACCTATCATCTCGGGGCGGTACAGTAGGCCAGAAGTGGCCGTAGTACAAGGGACTTAGTCCCACCCCACTAGCAATAAAAAAATACTTACTTACTTACTTACTTACTTACTCATGGAGCTGACCCCTTCTGGAGGAGCCACCAATTCTGCAGCTACTCAAGAATTTCCCAGAATTTTATGGAACCCGAAAATTCATTACCGTGTTCACAAGACCCCTCCACTGGTCCCTCTCTGAGCCAGATCAATCCAATCAATACCATCCCATCCTATCTCTCTAAGATCCATTTTAATATTGTCCACCCACCTACGCCTTGGTCTTCCCAGTGGTCTCTTTCCTTCTAGCTTTCCCACCTATGTCCTATACGCATTTCTCGTCTCCCCCATTCGTGCTACATGCCCTGCCCACCTCATCCTCCTTGACTTGATCATTATAATTATACTTGGAGAAGAGTACAAGTTAAGAAGCTCCTCATTATCCAGTTTCCTCCAATCTCCTGTCACCTCATCTCTCTTCGGTACAAATATTCTCCTCAACACCCTGTTCTCAAACACCCTCAGTCTATGTTCCTCCCTTAATTTCAGAGACCAAGTTTCACACCCATACAGTACAGCTTACTTAAGCATATTCATTTATTCAGTCATCTGTGTCTCTACAGCCCTCTGTTGGACCTTGGTTGCTTCTTCAGTTTCTTATTCTTTTACTCAGTCGATAGGACTCCTTGGACGGGAGAATCAGCCTGTCGCAAGGCCGCTACATATTTTTTTATTTTATTTCTTGCAAATTTACAATCTACTCCCTAGTAACAAAACGAGTGATAAGCAGTTGGTTTAAAATTTGAAGACTTGTGATGGGTATCATTCATTAATGCTTCTCCGTGTGGTTACACATCATCGAGAAGGTCTTTTTTCCAAGAGTTTGGTGAATAGGTGAGTTAAGAGTTGGTTTACATGTTCTGTTGTTCGGTCTTTGTATTTGTTTATGTTTGACTTAATTACAGCTTGTATTAATGGTATTTTGAAGTCATCATGTAAAGTTAGGTTAGGGACGTCGATGGCTTGTCGGATGTTATCGTGTGATACGAGAGGCTACTCACAACCAAATGTCTGTTGCACTAATTCCAGCGGCTGGAACATTTCTCTGTGGGTTTTGTTCACTGACTGACTGAGTTCGTTCGGAACCTGATACTGTAACGGATTCAAGTCTGGATAATTTGATGGAATGCTGTGGATTTGACAAATTAAAGTGTAGAATCATGTCAGTACTTTGAAAGAACTGGTAACGCGAACGAACAATTAGTTGTCTGCTAAACGAGTCAACCAAACGGAATAAATCAATTTATACGCATGCTTACATATGTTCTACATAGCTGAGTTCAACTGATATCCGTAAAGCCTATTATTGTATCGTTTGTTTAAAGAAAATAATTACTGTGTTCCACTCAGCATAATAGGAGACAGTTTATAACTCTGTATGGGCATGCATGTCGCTGTTACACCGTGGTAATTGTCATTTATGTACATAGATGATTTATATTCGAAGCACTATCATCTTAAGGGTACAGACGTAACTTAATTCACAAATTAACTGGGGAAAAGGGGAGGAGATAAAGGTATGAAAGGGTTAAAGGGAAGGAAGTATCGGAGTTAAGGATGAAAGTAAGAAACAAATTATACTTCGAAGAAAGCAGTCTTCTGGGATGTGGCGCCGTGTAGAAATTGTGTTAATCGACGTTTCGGAGGAACGTATCGCCTCCATCTTCAGGGCTGAAGACAAGAAGAAATCTGCGAGCGAACCAGCAGATCTTGTTCAAACATCAGATCTTACAAATTATACTTCGTTGAATTACTACGGGGTTTCCCCACTTAGTATAGAATGACTGTTTGTGAAACTTTAGCCGTTTCAGTACCGCACTTCGGAAAGATCTGTTTGAACTTTACTGCATGTGACAGCGGAAGGAGAGTTTTGCTCCACCACTTCTCCCCTTGTCCAGAATATTTCTGTCGATTCCCCATCAAATTAATGTGACATAAATTATTTTCTATTGAAGAGTTTTAAGCAGTTTTTTACTCGGTTTAGACGGAATCTATATATTACTTTATTTACTGTTACATCAGAAGTCGTGGAATTGGTCTGTTGACTTAAGTACATTTAGTGATCGTGGCTGAAATCTGCTAGCCTCAGCTTCAAGTTGATGTCCTCATTTATATCAAAGAGATGAGTGTGAAAATCTTAACTTGTATAATTCCTGTCCAGCCAGATCAGCGAGGGATCATAATAATAACATCAATATTCACGAATATGGAAAAAATGCATGGAAATAAATGCATAGCTTTTATTACTGTATTCATCAAAACACATCCGTTTCAACAATTCTCCACGTCATGTTTTGTAGACGAACACAAAGTTATTTTTTAAAACGTTTAGTACATGGAAGTGATGTTTGTTTTTAAAACTAGTACTACACTGAACAGATTAAACTTCTATAACAACATGTATGGACAAAGAAGACACGCCGTTCAGAAAGAAAAAGCAATTTGATTTTGTGCGTCAACCTTTTTAACACACGAGATTGACTGCCGGTTGCATGCGGCACAGACCTAACTGAGAACACTAATCGTATAGAGAATCCATACATAGGAAAAATTTGTACGTATTTCGTAATTACGTTGTGCTGATACACGGATTTCTTATACCGCGATTGTTTTCTATTCTTAAAAATTTATTGACATTTCTTTCAGAGTCATGTTATTTGGAATAGTCTAATTAGAAGTACTTAATATTAATTTATCTATATACAGGTGTGCTGGGTTGGAACAGAAATTGGAATATATTCTAGTCAATCTGAAGCCATGTATTCACATACAAGTACAGATTTATTTAGCAAGAAAGGACCCGTACCTGAAGGAAATTCCATTTGAAGACCAGTATCATCTGGTATATGACGGCGTGATGTCTGATAGAAGTTTTTCAACGTTTCGGGATAATGTCCTGCCTCCATCTTCAGGGTGTAAAAGTGTGCCAAATGAGAAGCAGGCAGACAGTAGATTATTACTGCTTGTTTGGCTTATTCTTCGATCCTGAAGATGGAGGAATTGAGTGTGAAAACCTCTACCAGACCACGAGGCGTCACAATGTAGAAGATAGAACTCTCCATAAACACTGCCGTGGGAACCTGAAAACCCACGCAATTGTCCATGTTTCTGTGGTCGTGGGATTACAAACTGCTGTTGCTGTAACGTCTTTTCACGAAAGTCCCGCAACCGAGAATTACTCTATATAAATCCTGACATAGGTACACTTTCCGAAAGTAGGAGAGTCTGTTTGATAATGATCACAAAGTTTCCAGCCCCAGCACACTTGCCTGAATCAAAGGTTGAGCTTTTTTTTTTTTTTTAGATAACTTCTTGGTATTTTGTACTTAATTGCAATCCTCTCCTTTCTTGCACACTATTTTAGAGTTTGCCTTTCACTTATACAAAGTCAGCACCAGTCATTTCCATACATATGTACAAGGACACATACCTTTATACAAGGTTGCTCTAATTTCAATTTCTGACCTGTTTTTTTTCCTTTCTTTCTTTCAAGAAAATGTTAATTTCGAAGTGGCTGTATATGGACCAAGATTAATGAAAAACTTTCTGACACGGTCAAAACTTTTCAACTTTTCCGGGTCAACTCGTTGCATTTCCGTTTGGCTGCGAAGAGGGAGTCCCATGGTACGTAACAGAAATAGTGTAACAGAGGCTTGGGACAACAGGAATACCGATCGAAGCCTGGCAATGACAACTCAACGGTAACAGTTAACTAGTCTTTGCATGGAACAGTGAACTTGGGGTCTGATGTCAAATAAAAACCATTTAGTAGTTCTTATAATTATAATCATGTATTCCTACAAACTAGAGTAATTGCTATACCATGGATATATGGTTTCTTACATGCATGACACATGAAACCTCTGTAAATACAATGTTTAAAATAAGAACCAATAAATTAAATATGCAAATACTTCTGTAATAATACCAGTAAACGGAATTATCTTGTATTTCTCAGCATAACAATCTTAATAGCTTGAATTTGCGTTTGGGTCCTTCAAAATGATTAGATAATCAGGAGACCGGAGTGAAAATTATGTAAAATGTTTTGGTGGGGCGAGAACGGTCTATTTAGGGCCCTTTTGTTTTTTTTTATCTAAAAAAATTAACATTTTTGAAGGCACTTTAGATCGGACGAGTTGGCCCTGTGAATGAATTTGATTTGAGTGGATGCCTAGAGCTGGAATATTTTGTATATCTGTTGAATATCAGAGTTTTGTTCAGTTGCCTTCAGTCTATTGCAAGCGCGGTGCTGTGTATGGTTCCATGTCCAAATAGCTATTTTAAAATTGAGAACACTTCGCAGAATTTCCACTCGCAGTCTCCAGAAAGTTAACTGGACAAGGTACGACTTCGTCACATGCGCAGTTTGGTTACAACTTAAGATCAAACGGGGCACACAGAATAAAAGTACAATAGCCCCAATTCTGTTTCATAAACAATGTGTGTGACGCATCGTTAACATGTGAAATAAACTGTTACTGATATAACAGATACATGATGTGTGGTCTGCTGCAGTCGGCAACCAACTGAAACATAACGTGAAGGACTTAACCCAGAACGCTCAAAGGTTACCAACAGTTTACATATACTACATCTCACACTCAAAAGAATGACTATGTTTGTGTAATGGACTAGAAGATTCTGAAACAGCCTGTTATGTTATAACGAACGTACAAACGGTAATAGTCGGAAGCAACCCTAGGGGGGCAGTTGCCAGTGATAATAAGAGTAGTGAGTTGCTGTTAGATTAATGGAAAACATAACGACGACCAAAAAAATTGTTTTCCTGACACGTGAGAATTGTTTTTCTTCTAGAGCAAATGATGACACTAGGTTTTTTAAGAAAATAGAATGTAAGGCAGATTTTGGTTAAAAATTACACACAACTTCATTTTGCTCAATTTTTATTTTTTCATAAAGATAAGGCGCGAAGGTGCTTTTAACTAAGCTTGTACTTTCCGTGACGAGGTTTGAACAGGGATCCTAAACATTGCCAAGACCTTTTTTTTTGTGTTCTTGTGAAAGGAAAACTGTATTGTAACGCAAGCAGAAAAAAACACGCCAAATCTGTATCTTTTGATGCAAGTATTGCTACATTTTAATGGAGGGACAAAATTTTCAAAACAATAGCACCCTTGTGAAAACTTGAAGGAAAATTATCCGAATGGCCACTGTGCAGAAACAAAAGAAACTGTATTTGCGTAGTATCTCAAAGAACTTGTGATGAGTAATGTTGTCTATTGCAGTGAACAGAAGCGCTGCTTGGGAACAAAAACGTTTATGTGACAACCAACAGAAAAACATTCCTCACCGCACCACCACCTTAGTAAGGGTTTGCTCCCTGTCAAAGCTACAACAACCATGGGGGAACGGTAAAATCTACAGGGCAACAATCACATAGCAGGAGTCAACAATGTCAGTTCTATGGAGAGAATAAACAAAACTCAAATCCAGTATATGCACTGGCAACATTGTTTGCACTGCGCAAAACAGCAATGTATGGTGGGGCATGGGCGAGCCGTGGGGAGCGGAAGGGGCCCGCCTAGCCTTCGTGTCTACCCGGGTGTGGGGTGTGGGGGTGCCCGGCCGGCCGACGGGACGGCTCGGGCCCATTTCAGGGCCGGAGGTGGGGGGACTTGTCAAGGAAGTGGTGGGCGTAGTTTGGTTTGTGAGACGCCGCTGCGGCTGTTATGCATCGTGATGATGTGATGTGATGGAGCATCAAAGAAACGAAGGAGTAGCCATACTGCGATCCACGACTCGGCTCTATGTGTGTATGTATGTATGTGTGTGTGAGACAAGATTTGATTTCCATCTGCTTGCTGCTGACAAAGAGATTTTAGTTATTTTTTGGTTAAAGTGGTGACTAGATACTGAAACTGTTGAGCCACCTTTCCTTTATGGTAACCAGTTGGCGAACTCAACAATCCGGAACTTAAAGGACACTTTGGTTTTTGCTTCATCTCCTCCTTTGTCATCCATCCATCTCCACATCTAGTTATCTCATATTTTTATTTATATAACTTATTTATTATATACTTTCCCTATCTCTCTAGTATATTAGTCGATACGTCGGCAGGATGCCGGCTGGTGGGATCTGCTTCTGCCTGCCACGTGGATGTACCAGTAATACTGAGGGTAAGGAGAACCGAGGACTACAGATGCTCCACTGCAGAAGTGACCAACTGTTGGTTCGGGTTGTACAACTGATAAATCATATCTGTAAACTGTTTTCGCGCTGCTTCTTTGCTATGGATGGTGTCTGGTTGTTGAAGAAGTGTGTTGAGAGGGAATATGGCCAGCTAGCTGGAGCGTCCACTATCATCATCCAGCCGTCTGCCTCGCAAGACAAAATATTCTATATTTTATTTACTTTTGTGTTTCTTTTGTACTGAAGTCCTGTCTTCACTCGCGAGTGTCTTGTTTTCCCCACTAACCGTCACATTGATACTGAGTTCGGCCCCCGACTTGCCGCGCACTCACTGATCTTCCGTTCTTCAGCTTCTTCCCGACGCACGTATTAACACAATACTTTACATTTTTTTTTAAAAAAAGTTTTCTCTTTTCATTAGCTTTTTTATACTTTTTACTCAAAAGCAATTATCAAAATTTCTTTAGTGTAAAATTCAATCAAGTATATATATCACAAAATCAGTTACATTGTCGATCAACATCAGAAGGCATTTTTTTTTACGTTTTCACCACTGGATATAAATACTGAGTTTAACCTAAGAGACAATGGGGTAGTTTGACTAGGAAACTCACCATGATAAATAGTAGGAAAGGAGTCGGTTCTCCTTTTTATAGGGCCAGCAGCTACTGTGCCATAATGTTCATTGCATAGGTGCAGCTTGGTGGTAGTACGGTTTACTGACTGACCGGCTGGCTGGCTGGCGTAATGATGGCTCGTGACGGCGTGAGATCACGTGATTCATAACTACAACTAAAGGACTGTGCTAATTGGTGCACGCTGTGTTTTCTTTTGGCAAAGAAATAATAATATAATAATTAACAATACTTTTTTTTTTACATATGTTTAGCTTCGTAAAACGAATTCGGTGTGAACTATCAACGGATCATTTCGACACTTTTTTTTTTAGTCAACGACTAGCACACGATTTAACAAACCCCAACCTCTTCACTACAGCGAGTTCTTTGGTCATGTATTATCTGTACCATATTACTCAAATAGCAGATGTGCATTTTACAAGATGAGCCTAGACTCTCTTTTTTTTTAAATTAAAATTACATAAACATTATTTACACAATGAACTGCCCACAAGTTTGATAGACAATATTAATTGGAAGGTTTGAGAAGGCACTTCTTCTCAATACACACCCGAGACAGGTTCTTGGGGTCAGGGGCAAGGCAACAGGCCAGCTGGGTCCCCTGGGTCGGGGATCGGCACATAATATGTACAAAGAAGCACCTCTCCACGGCACCCCAAGCTAACCAGTCCAGTCCCGGAGTCAGTTACCTTCTGGTGTTGTCTTGGACTTAGTCACAGGATTCAACAATAAGAATTATGTTACAATAATAGACAATATAGTCTTTGGTAGATAAGATTGTGGGCAGTCTACCATTGAATTGCCTCAACGAAACAGTTTACAGATGTGTCAGCCCTCTGCTGGGCTGTCTTCCCATTGGCTGCAGAGACGAGGAGTCCGTGGCGGCAAGGAGCCAGGGAGAAGTAACAGATAACGGAAGAGAAACAGCAGCGTACGTAGCGCAACAGAACAGAGAAGACAAGCAAGAATAGCTAGCTGAACGGAAGCAATCTTGTGTTGAGGCGGTTAGGACGCGTCGATCCAGGAGCAGACCCGACTAGATCCTTGCTGCTGGTTCTCGCAGGAGGCCGCTTCCTACTCTTGCAGCTATTCCAGTTGCTCAAGAAAGTTGGGCGACTTGAAGTACTCGGGGACAGGATCATCCATTCTGGAGATGATCTTGTAGATAGACTTCTTCCACGACTGTTCCGTGTCTTTGCCGCCCTGGATTGCCTTGAAGAACTCCCGGAGCGTCTGTTCCACCACGAATCGGAAATTGGAGGGAACCTGCACAAAGAAGTGAGCTCGTTGACTTTTAGGCTGGAGAAGCATGCGAGACATGCAAGTCCTCAGGCTTCTCAGATGTCGCTGGCTGTACTGTTTTAAGGACTGAACACTGGTCTGCTGTGTTTAAACACTGCACATAAAGGTACAGTTGTCTCTGTGCTTAAATAATTGAGCACCACGCCATGAAGACGTTTGGGGAATTGGAGATATAACTCCGTTATTCTTGACCTAGATGGAGGTGAGTGGTCAGTTTCACGCCCCAGCCACTTTACTCCCGGTCAAAGAGTTCCCGGTACCCTTGGGATAGAAGATTAGGTGGGCCTCAGAGTTGGTATGGACGCTATAGAGAAGAGAAGAATCTCCTTCTCTGCCGAGAATCGAACCTCGGCCGTCCAGCCGGTAGACCATCGTTATATCGACTGAGCTATTTCTGCTGTTGGGGACATAAAAACAATTCATTTTCCTGAGACTTCTCAGATGCTGCTAGCCTTACTGTTTTAGGGACTTAATATTCGTTTGCTCTGTTTAATTAACGCACATTCAAATATTAATTGTACAATCACGAAACATCCTTTATCAGATGTGGGGTACAGATTCTGACTAATGTGCAAGCAGTGCAATTTCTGTAGCTTGGTGAGTTTTGTTAGTGGGAAATTTGATATGGTTGGTAATATTGTTTGATATTGTTTGAATGTGCAGCTACGGGTCGAACTTAACCACCAGTCGGCTGAACAGAATAAAAAATGGTAAATAAACATGATGGAAAAATTTAACATAAATATTCAAAGTCAGAGATGGGATTTGTAATATCGGAAACAAGATCAGTTTGTGGGTATGGTATGAATCAGTTACTCTAGGTTCTCTGCTAAAAAACACATACTTTACCATTAGAGATATTAAAACAGGTGCGAATTGTGAAGTTCAGACGAAAAATAGTGTGCCGTGTTACCGACCGAGTCAATGTGAAACATGCTGTACGTAGTTCCCATGCATCACATACGATAGCGACACTGCTATCAATAGCAGTTAGTGTGTTGTGACGTCGCTATGTATATTCAGGCAGAGGGGTAGGGGTGGAAACATTCATGTTATGGAATTTGGTGTTCATCTGGACACCTGGAAAGCGTAAATAATGTTTCGGGACAGTTTCAGGCTGAAGCTGAAATTCGAGCATGTTACGTTTCGACACATATGCAGGATTTGTAATCATTCCTGTGGAACACGGCGACCTGCAGAATAAGACGAGTTGATGGGCAGGTTTTGAAATCGCCATGATTTTGCTGAATCATTTTTATTGCTACCTATCTCGAGTTTCTCGTCAATTAGATATTTGATCATGATAGTCATTAATATAAGAAAAAGGTAAAATTGTCCCTGTACTTAACTAATTAAGCACTACGCCATGAAGGCGTATGGGGGAGTGAAGGTTTAGGCCCACGTTTTCTTGACCTCGGCATTAGATGGAGGTGATTGGTCAGCTTCACGCCCCGGCCGCTTTACTTCCGGGGAAAGAGCTCCCGGTACCCGTTAATTAGGAAGTTATGAGCAGTTCTGGACGTGGAGAATTGAAAATTGTTGACCCAACTGGAACTCGAACTCCGACCTTTCGGTCGTCCAGCCTGTAGCCAGTCGCTATACCGACTGCGCTATCTCAGTTCCTTCGCCAGTAATATAAATATGCTTGATTTAAGTCTGCTATTTCAGTTGCAAAAAATGCAAAAGCAAGAAGGTGAATACCAGAATCTGTGGGACAATATTGTACAACTAGAATTATTGTTGTGTACAAATATATGCAGTTAAACGTAATTGTAAAAAAGGCAAAATACGTGAGACGGTGGAACAAGTAACATTTGATACAAATCTATCCCTATAACAGGCCTCGGAGGCTCGTAGGATTGTGAGACGCCGAGGCTCCCATATTTTCTAGACAATCGGTTCTAGGATGGCGATGAGGTTGTCATCCTTACGCGCCGCCCGCCTTTTACCCCTAGGAAGATTTCTGATACTCATTTCTGTTAGAAGCTGAGTCGACACCAGGGTCTTAGTGCGGCTGGAAGGATTAGGTTAATTGAAAATCCAGTGACCTTATCGGGAATAGAACCGGCTATCTTCCGGCTTGTGGCATAGTGCCTCAACCAACTACACTTCCGCGTGTCCCCAGAGTCTGACTACTACTGGGTGTGACAACGTTCTCTCTCATTTTCTTCACTTCTAGACAACAAGGTGATCCAGAATTTTGTGAATATGTTTCAGACTACAGCATGTGACATCTCAGAGGACAGTATTTTGATACCGAGTGTCCAGAAAAAACCAAATCCTTTATAAGCTTTAAAAATGAACTGGCAGAATGCTCTTGTAGAATACGCATTGTCGTAAGAGACTCGGAAGAAAACTAAAATGTGGGACTTCGACGAAAGAAATGAAACACAAGGCTTTTCGTCACTGTCAACATCCTACAAAGGGAGGGGGGGCGTTAATTCGCAACTAACCAACCGGAAAACGACAACCCCTGGAATTGTGTATCGATCTGAACGGAACTCGGTGAATGCGGTAATTACACTGGACACACTGCCAGTGCGCGGTTATTACTGGGATGCAGGTTGCTGACTAATCCATGCGACCTGCGTGAAACAGGAACTACGATTCAAATCTTCATTTTATGTTGAGGCATTAAACTTCTACAGCAACGAATCAAAATTTGATTCAGGAGGAAATTAAGAGGAGATTGAACTCTGGTACTGCTTGCTACCATTCAGTTCAGAACCTTTTGTCTTCTCATCTGATCTCAAAAACTTAAGAAGTAGAATATACAAAACTACGTGTATAATTTTGTCAGTGGTTCCGTATGGGTGTGAAACTTGGTCTCTGACATGGGAGGAACATAGACTGAGGATGTTTGAAAACAGGTTGTTAAGGAGAATATTTGGACCGAACGGAAATGAAGTAACAAGAGGTTGGAGAAATCTACATAATGAGGAGCTTCATAAGATTAAATCAAGGAAGTTGAGATTGACAGGGCATATAGCACGAATTGGGAGACTATGAATGCATATAGGATATTGATGGGAAAACCAGAAGGAAAGAGACCAGTAGGAAGACAAATATGTAGGCGGTAGGATAATATTAAAATGGATATTAGAGTGATAGGATGGGGTGGTGTGGACTGGATCAATCTGGCTCAGGATAGGGACCGGTGGAGAGCCGTTGTGAACACGATAATGAACCTCCGGGTTCCGTGACATGTTGGGAAATCCTTGAGTAGTTGCGCAACTGGCGACTTCTCAAGAAGGGCTGAGCTCCATGGAGTTAGTTAGCAAGTTAGTATTAAGTTTAATTTTGCCTTTATACATGTATTATCATGTTCTCATAGTTTCGCTTAATTATTTCCCCTGAAATGAGCCCACCTTTCCGATTATAAGTGCGTTACTTGACATTGTGGATTTAAATTTTGCTTATTTTTTTNGCTCAGAATTCAGAGACATAATGTTGTATGCGTAAAGCGAGGTGGAAATTTTGTGTTTTAACTACTAAGGACTGCTATACGAGTTTTATTAGCCCTCGATTGTGTTCAACGTAGGAGATAATTGTACAGTGAGGAAGTCAGATTGATGGGAGAAACAGATAAGCCTTGTCTGGAACATCGGAAGTGGTAAGAAACTTAGTCTTGATATCAAGTTTGTCCCGAAGCAGGCTGGAAGCTCAGGCGACTTAGGTGTGACGAAAAACCGTCTTGGATCGTGGAAATGGAATGTTTACTTATTTCGATTTTTCTATTCGAATTTGAATGATTTGTGACCTTTCAATATCTCACATTATACAGATTATGGCACAAAACATTGATTAACCGATTAACGTACAGTGGTTACTGCCTTAGCATTTAATAAACACAGTATTTTGTCTACATAGTGTACTCTGGGTAAACATAGATTATTTCCGTAAACACATCAACCGTATGATCTTAATGGGAACACAGTGTGTTTTATATAAGATAGGAACTAGATTTTTAAATGCAGGATTTGAGGTCCTCACAGCGGTTATCCCGTGTGGAGGCGGGGTCGAATACCTCCACCGTATACCTGCGAGTCGCAGGAGGCGACGAAAATGGAACCCAGGACTGAGGGGTATAAGTGGGCCACCCTGTTCCCGGAGGATAAAAATAAGGGGACCTGGCCCTTCAGGCTGGGGGAGTCTCGAATCTGAGACAGTAAAATGTGGTCATGAGTCCCGTGGGACTCAGACCCGAGGATGACAGCGCTGGCGATGACCAGCAGCAATTGTATACGATAGACCCATCCTCTTGTCAGAGAGGATGTTACATGAGGACTATAACCGCAAGTGTTCAGCTGAAAATAAATTACTGGTCGTGAGTCTCAAGGGGCCTGTCGCCAAGACGAACTCGTAAAGTAACTCTGACTCTGACTCTGACTCACAGCAGTGATTATAGAGAATTCTGGATTAATAAATATTGTGTAATTCAAATTCAGAGTTCATGGATGAGACGGCAACGTGATGTAACATTTATGGTTATTCATAGCGACAGGTTTCTTGTTTCCAGACAAAAGAAAACATATTGTTACTATAGGATTCTGACGATGGTGTATAACACACAGAGATATTGGGTTTTCGGACTTTATCCATCGTCCTGGTTTNTGAAACCCCAATATCTTTGTGAAAAGAAAACAAATTAGCTGTAACAGCAGAATTGTCTTTCTGAGAAAGGGTTTGCTTCAGTAGATGCAATCTCAGCACATTGATTTTAGTACAGCAAGATGAATGAGTGAAATAGGGACAAAAAGTAGAGGGATAAAGCAAAGAATAATAAGTAATGATAAGGTTATAAAGAACTCTGTAGAAATGGCAATAAATTGTTCTCTCAAATGGAAACAGGCTTTCTGCCAGAACCGCAACATCATAGATTATCCTAAGATCAGAGTAAATAAGCAGAGATGCTGGAGAATGTACGGGGCGACTGCTAGATGGGGGTGGGGGGGCGGTCCTTCCTTCCTACGTAAGGCTACGTTTACCGTTTATGAACATGCAGTATTAGGAAGGCTTTAGAATGGAGATGCCAGCAGATCAATTGAAATGTACTGGCTCTTATTTCGACACTCACTCGCCTTGTGTATTTACAGTGTTCTGAAAGTGAATCTGTTTCCGTCATCAGGTATTAGGGAGGAAATGTTTCTACTCAGTTACTCCCTTAGAAAGAGCTAGTCTGGATCCCTCGCAGGGACGTCATGCTTATTGCGTCACACTATCGTTAGAAACATTTAGACTTCATTCATCTGTGACTCTATAATCCTCTGTTGGACCTTGACCGCTTTTTCAGTTTCTTAATCTTTTCACACAGTCTGTACAATTCTTTTGACGGGAGATCAGCCCGTCGCAAGGCCGCTACTTATACATAGGGCAACACGAACACAGAATAAACGCAGACAAATGCGTGTGCCTCGAGTTGGATTCGAACCCACAACCCAAGTGTTTAAGCGAGCGAAGACGGTTCATGCCTCAGACTGCGCGGCCACTGCAATCGGCTATATTTAAACTTGGTTGAGACTTGCTGTAAACATGAATGAAAAGTCAAATATATTTTTACGTGAGAAGTTATTGCGTGCAAATAATTAGTTAAAGAAGACTACGTGATTTATTTTCTTTTTGTTTTGTTGCACTTCTGAAAAAAAGATACCCGATTTTCGTGTTTAGAGGAATGTAACATTCGAAAGAACTGGAAACTGAATTTTCAGTAGAATAAACTGAAATGTCTTAAGAAATGAACGCAACAGGCTCCTCTGGTTGTAACGTTGTAGACTTGCATTCGCTAGATACTCACTTCGAATCTCGGTAGGGATACCAAGAATAATTACTGAGGATTTTACTGGTTTTCCTCAATCCCTGTACACAAATGCTGGAACAGTGTCTGGATTTCGGTCTCCAATTACTTTCCAATTCATCATTCATCAACCGTCCTGTTATTGAGATGAAGAATTGTCTCCTGTGGTATAATGAAATTACAGATTTAAATTATTTTTCCTATTTCGCATTAGAAATATGTTATTTGTTTAAGACAAGAGGCCTTCATCGAGGTAAATTTGAATAGGACCGAAAATCTCCAGAGCTTTTGTTCAGCAAATATTTCGTTAGTCTTAATTTACTTTTGAATTAATTAAAATTATATTTGTAATAATAAGTGATCGTCGCTAGAACTTGTATTAAAATTCAAATTCGTTATTACTGTTAATTTGTCCGTGATCAGACTAATTATAACGCAAACTGTCCCTCGAAAGCCTGGTAATAATATTGGCTACATTGCCGCTTGAGGTTCCATATATTGGAAGTGTTTGGATGTAAACATTGCGGATTTCGCAAGACCAAGTTACAGTGGACCCTGCCATTTTAAATAAAGTGATTGGAATAGGAAAATAATTCACATTTAAATGTGCATTGATAATATTTTGATATGTAGATTCACTGCTAGGTAAAGGGTCGATAGACCCGCATTCTTGACAATAAAAAAGTGTCTTCTGTGCGGTTATCATATATCCATTGCTGGGCAACGGATGTGTTTTCTATGGGTCCGTCTCTAGACTATATGAGTGGTACAGAACCGAATCAGAATGGAGAGAGTCCTTGACAGTCCAGGAGGAAGGGTTCGGCTGAAGATTTATTGTGAGTTACTGTAATTGATTAAGCTAGATTGTACAAGAAGCTGTCAATAAATCCAATCATCCTATTTAAAAACCCGTTATTATTAGTCACGGATCCATAAACATATGACAATATTAAATTTGAATTTTTATCTCGCTGCGTATTTCTATGTAGTGTTTATTTTAAATATTAAAGAAACTATTTAAGCAGTTTAACTCAATTATCGCTCCACTTATCTTTAAAATTACATGTTTCATGGACCATCATGCGTGGTCATTGAGCCGTTTTGACTAATGTGCACATTAATCGGTGCGTGTGCACATTAGGGTTTCACACGCATTTACCACAAAATCCCCTCTGAACTGGGTTGGTAGGTGGTATAATAGTTCTTTACCCTGTAGGAGAGTGGAAGGGAAGGTCGATGACTCTGCAAAATTTTGAATTCATTCATTTATTCATCAGTGGCTCTACAGACGGTAGGACTCCTTGGAAGGGGGATCACCCTGTCGCAAGGTCTCTACCTACATACAGAACAACACAAACACAGGGTCCCACACATTTCTAGACAGTCAGCTCACAGATGGCGGTGAGGTTGTCAGCCTTATGCGCCGGTCGCCCTTTACCCCCAGGAAGATTCCTAGTACTCATTTCTGTTAGAGGCTGAGTCTACCCCAGGACCATAGTGCGGCTGGAAGGATTACGTAAATTGAAAAATCCAGTGACTTCATCGGGAATCGAATCGCGACCTTCCGGATTGTAGCATAGTGCTTCAACCAACTATGCTGCAACTGGACGACGTGGAGAAGAGAAAGATTTCGCCACTACTGTGACTCGAACTCCGACCTTTTGCCGTCCAGCCCGTAGCCCGTCGCTAAGTTATCCCGGCTCTCTCTCGGTATTAATGGTTTATTTTAAATATTCCGGTTATCAGTTTCAGAAGGACTTTTTTTATTGTTAGTGGGGTGGGACTAAATCTCATGTACTGCGGCCACTTCTGGCCTGTTGTACCAGCCCCAGATGATAGGTGAATGTAATTGTGGAGCAATTGGTGGAATGAAGATTGGCAGAGGAAACCGAAGTACTCGGAGAAAACCTGCCCCAGCGCCACTTTGTCCACCACAAATCCCACTTGACCAAACCCGGGATCGAACCCGGGCCTCCGCGGTGGGAAGCCAGCGACTAACCACTTGAGCTATGGCGCTTCAGAATGACTTAGACATATCCGTGAATAATTTGACGTCACGGGAATGTGGACAGCGAAGCAAGAGACCACAGATTTTGAGAATAGAAGATAAGGTAGGTAGGAAGATCGCGCACCTGTGGACCCCATACCTCTATGTGGTTGTTCCTGTTGTAGTGAAGGTTGAGTACTCGGTATATTTCTGAGTCCCCTCCTACATGAAGGTCGTCTGCATTCTTGACACCTTCGCTGACTGCCTGTCTCGCGTACTTCTCCATCTGGATATAGTAGAACTCCCTGAAACACAACACACATATTTAACTATGCTGAACTCTTCCTTATGTTGAGTTCACAAGATAAGAATGTGGTGGCTATTTTAACATACACTTGAAAGTTACCACTCAGACCAAATGGATTCAGTTGATTTCTCCACGTGCAAGTCTAATCGTATCCGGTTTGTAAGAAGGTTCAAGATTGTTTGGTTACGTGGGATATGTTGCTATGTATTGCGATGAATAGTTACTTTGGAGTAGGAGGTACTCCGAGATCGGTTTATGTTGTCAAGATTTAGGGTGACTATAGACGAAATGCGGATTGCATATTGGATTTATTTTGACGGCATACAGGTCGTAACTACCCGTACAAATAAACCTAACACTATCGCGAATTCCATACTTTACAAACACTACAAGATAAGTCTTCTCCAGCCTGCAGTGTCTTCACTAGTCGTTGCTTGGTAATAGCTCTCAGCAATGGAGATTCTTCAGCTTCTGTGCTCACGTCGTTACTATCCTTCGAGTATCCCACAACTGAACTGTGATCTTAATTATAGCGTCATCTCTTCTCAGCCTTCCTTACAGAACTCAACTCTCAACTGACTAGGTTAAGTCAAAGGCAAAGTCACATTGCGACTGACGGTCAGTCGGTCAGTCAGTCTTGGTGTCGAACCCAATCTGGGGCTTATGACCAGATATTTAATACTGTTTGACAGTTACGGTCTTGTTATTGTAGGGCACCCTCTCTGACGAGAGGACGGATCTCTCTTTTGTTAAGTCATTGTCTGCATTAGTAAGTCATTTGTCATAATGTAAGGGATATTTACATTTTACATGTTAAACATGATAATAAATGTATATAAATTGTAGAGCGCCTCTGTCAGTCCAGGCTCAGTACAGCACTGGGTTGTCTCAGTTGTCTTCCTTATAACCCCTTTGCACGGACAGAGCAGAAAACACTGTTTCCAACAATAATTCTATTGTTGAGTGCGTTGCAGCGGGAACGTGTTTACCGATTCGTCTCCTAGGAGCGGGTTGGATAACACCATTATTTATTCGTCAATCTCGCGGTCATTGCATAATAACGGTTGTACGCGCTAAAATATCTGCCGAAATACTCGGCGTCACATCCGAGAAGGCAGTGAGCTTCATAGTGAGCTCCTTGGGAACTTAGATCTTACATAGAAATGCCATAGAAGTAGCAAAGGACTTGCAGTTCTCGCATTGAAATCTGTATTTGTGCATTGCTCTAAGTCCCACCCTTCTGACTAGCAAATTTCGTTCTTCTCTCTCGGGTGAGCTAGTTCTTTGCAACGTACGCGTAACTTCAACCCCCCCGTCAGTTATTTGGGGTTCATGAAATGCGACAGAGAAGTTAACTCATATACTGTGATTATCAGTGATTATTTCGGGCTGTTTCACCAGGCATGAATCTCGTGCCGAGGTAAAGAATTCTCAGGTTTCTACCTCCAATCCCCCATACATCCTTATGTCATGATGCTAAATTAAGCACAGGAACAGCCTTATCATTTATCTTGCAGCATACAGACCCGTTGATAAGTAATGACACTGAAAACAAGACCCGTTGCTAGTCAGATTACTAACATGCGCCAATAGATTGGTTGGAAAGCGGTGTTTTCTGCGGGGTCCGCGTCGATGGTTGCCTATGCAACAATGGATACAACAGAAGAACGTTGTTATAAGCAGGACAATTAGTGAGTGTAGTTGAGTAAATTGAAGTGAATTAGTGAGCAATTAATTAGAGACCTGATGCGGTTCAGTCGTTGTGATCCCTTGCTGTAAGAAGCTGGTAGCTGAGGCCGGGAACAGATCCCCCGTTGGAAGCCACTACCAGGCAACGACTGGTGAAGAAACGCAAGACTGAGAAAACATAGTACGTGCTTTAGTGAATTGTGGAGTGTGTGAATTAGCGCTAGCGCTACTCATAGAGTTACTTGTAGTTACGATTTCCAAGTGGTCATTAAATCCAATTAACAATTCAAACCTCTACGGAACTATAAGATTTATTTTGGACTCTGTCCATCGTCTGGTATATATAAGACAAAAAACCACAACGTTTCGGAGACTGGATCTGTCTCCTTCCTCAGGTGGATGGGGCAAGGTAGACCTACTCAGTTGGGCCCGTTAGAAAGAGCTAGTCCAGTGATTGAGACCAAACCTCGTCTATAGTCATTCATACACGTGAGAATATAAATGCAGACAGGTACACTGTAATTAGATGCCACATTTCCCGACATTCAGAAATGTGCCCGTTATGAGCAGTAAGATCAGAGGCAAGAACAGTGCAACAATGCATTGATGGTGGATATAGATGCAAGGATTCTTATGAGAAATCCTTTTGAAACAGGGAATGAAGATTTGAGACCAAATATGAATTTTTAAAGCCTAACTCCGATGTTAAAAATTAAAGTTTGGATTGGGGGGGGGGAAATGACACTTGGAAGGCACACCGGATAGCAGGGTAGTTTGAATGTGAAAAATAAAAGAGAGGGAGATGTTAAAAAAGCATTGCGAGGGCGTCTCAGAGTAGCATCCCCGTCCACAAATGTCGTAACTTCAACAAACCGAGTAATTTGTAAGATTGGTTCCGCGTTGCTGGTTGCATTCGCTCAGTCTGCGCACCTCACTGGCTCTCTTGTGTTACTGCTCTTTTATACACCCCCCATCACCCCCTTCACCACCTACACCGCCAGCAACACGCCCGTTTCTTTTCTCATAAGCTTTGCTATTTCCTGACTATTCCAAGATTCGTTTAGCCCTTCTATTGAATGCTGTTGCTAATGTCCCTGCACACACAGACACAAACAGTTACTTTTGAAGTAAATCCTCCTCTCACTTTTTCGACTTTTCCTTTGAGTAATTCAGAAAGTCATAATTAGCTATTTCCCTATTAATTAGTTGCAACCAATTAGCGCCGTGAAATTAATGGTACGACGCTCAAATGTCATCAACAGGAAACAAAGCAACGCGAATTTTTAAGACTGCGGTAAGCAAAGTAGAACTTTCAAGGCGGGTGCTAATATTGCAAGGAACAAGGTGTATTTATCTGTAGCAAGATAGGCAGAGCGCGCACTCGTGCTGTAATCTCAGGCTTACCCGACCTAATAACCCTTTGCACTTACATGATCTATTCCGCGTTTCACTGGGTGCGTTACTTTTCAAATATTTTAACCAATAGTCGTTTGTCGAGCGCCACGGCCGGATGGATCACCTCTCCTCTTTTACATAAAGTGAAGAAGGTAATGAGTAAGTGGCCTCTCGGTCTGAAGCATGAACTGTCTTCGTCCGCGCGAGCGCTGGGATCTTGGGTTCGAATCCCACTCAAGGCATGGATGTTTGTGTGTGTGTTTATTCTGTGTTTGTGTTGTCCTGTGTGTAGGTAGCGACCTTGCGACTGGCTGATCACTCGTCCAAGGAGTCCTACCGTCTGTGTAAGAAAGATTACGAAACTGAAGAAGAGGCCAGGGTCCAACAAAGGGCTGTAGAGCCATTGATGTATGAACGAACGGAGGTAATGAGTTCGCATCTCGGCCCGAACATAGCTTATGATGATCACACTTTCCAATCGCTCACGATCACTGAACTGTTTAACGCTGCAGTTAAGAAAGCGTCGTTAGAACCAAGTGTGTCGGATGTAGCACGAGTGGAAGGGGGGGGGAAGAGGAATACATAGAGGATATTGGTGGGAACGCCAGAAGGAAAGAGAGAACTAAGAAGACCCAGACGTAGGTGAGGATAATATTAAGATGGGTCTTACAGAGATAGAATGGGGTGGTATGGACTGGATTGAGATGGCTCAGGGACCAATTGAGGGCTATTGTGGACACATTAATGAACTTTCAGGTTCCATAAAATGTTGGGAAATTCTTGAGTAGCTGCACAACAGGCAGCTTCTCAAGAAGGGCTCAACCCATGGAGTTAGTGTGTTGAGCCCAAATTTGGAGGGTATGGGAAAACGAAAAAGCTGGTGCAAAGATATTGCCCATACTTCTTCATGTATTCTTTTGGCCTCTTGTGCGTGGTACCTTTATTTTCCTGAAGATCCCACCTGCGGCGACGGTGTCAACAAACTATTGAAATTTAAACAAAGTCATTAGTCTTTTAGAACATCGCAATTTTATACTTGGGGACCTCTGTGAAGGGACCCTGGTCTTGGAGCTAGGATATTCATATTCACCGGGAAACGACCTATGAGGGATGAACTCATAGAAACGGAATTGAAAAAAATCCGTCCATCTGTGTCGGTGCTAGCTACACCCATATTCATACAGATAGATGGCACACCAGAGGCCACGTTTTCCATATTGCGGCACGTATACTCGTTGCTAGGCAACGACCGCGAGATAAACAGTTATACAACAGCATTTGCTAAGTAATGCTCTGTAAAGAACAGCCATTGATATACAGTGGCTATGTAGCGATCACATGGGCATCCCAACAGACGCAAACGCAACAATGGATATAGCAACAGAGGAACGGTATTTTCTGTGCGGTCCGTGCCGGGATGTTATAAGCAGGACAGTTAGAGCAATGGGTGAGTTTGTGAGGCAGTCGCCAGCAAGTAAGAATATGAGCACGGAAGCAGAGGACATTGTTGAGACCCGTGAACAGGCAACGACTGGAGAAGAGAAGATTTAGTACGTGCTGTAGTGAATTTCAGAGTGTGTGGATTAACGATAGCGCTATAGTTACTTGTGGTTATGGTCTGTAAATGTTCAGTAAATCCAATCACCAATCCAAACCCCGTCTATAGTCACTCATACACGTGACTGTATTCAGGTGTGTCGCAACCGTGTAAATCCGACAGATTTCTGTCTGAAATCTGAACAGCTTACTTCATCATACTACGTATAAACTACGAGAAAGTATAATTAAGGGTACGCCTGCTTGAGAAAAGTAAGAGATATGAGGGCATCTGACGTAAGGATTTACCACACCGACTCACTTATCCTGGTATGCTGGTCGTATACACACAGGATAATTGTGCAAATTCTCGCTGTA